AACCTCTTGGGTGATTTCCCACTGCCTCTGACATCAGTGGCACTAGGGTTTTACCCCAGAGTACCCTTCTGACATTACAGTGTCATATTGCACAACTATAGCTCTCTGTGGTTAAGTTTCAAAACTGGTTTATTGCAGTCACAAACATTTGGTAAGGCCAGATTTTGTGAAGTGAATCACCATATAAATACGTGAAATTTTCATCTCCCCAGAAAAAACAGTACAGAACTGCCCTACTCTTGAAATAGAAACATTGAACTTGTCAGGTTTTCACAAATCTGGAAACTATCTTTCAGTTTAAGAGGTTCAAACTTGGTTTCACAAAAAACAGTGAGTGAGGGTCACCGACTGTCCCCTACCAGTTGTAGTATACTGCTGCTCTATTCTAAATAGATCTTGATAATATGATTATCATTTCCCTGAGAGTTTCAGTCAAGTTTCCTTAAAATCTGTAATCTTGACTCTTAATTTCACCACCTTGCATACTACCATAGTAAGGTGATTTTTAAGATACTTTCAAATTAATTTTATTAACAATATTCTAAGCCTATGCTTTTCTGTTAAGCACTTGTAACTATATCAGAGGAAAATGAAAAGATCATAAATGAGCAAGACTTTTGAAATTAAAGTATTTTCATATAAATTTGTAATGCATATGAAGAGTTATACTGACCTGTCTAGCATCATATCCAGAGATTATCAGCTTTTTCTCTTCTAAATGCAACCAGTTCTAAGTCTCGAAAGTACTGTTTTAAAAACATTTATATTTTCCCTGTTGTTGATTTCTTAACAGTTTATCATCAGAACAATTACTGCTGTGATGATTCATGTTTAAGTCTGATGGGAGCAGGAGAATAAAATGGAAAAATTCTAATTCTTTTTGAACTAAAAAACATTTTTAAACAAATCATATATGGAAGTAGTTGAAGGAGCAGCGTTGCCATGATTGTCTAAACTTTTGATCTTTCATGGTGCTATAGTTTGAACATTGGTATTGAAGAGTACAGAAAGCATTTTAAACTTGACAGTCAATTAAACAGCTAATTTTCTTCATAGTATAGCACAGTTCAGCTGCATGAACAGTCAGTACAGGTCAGAACTACAGTAATTTGGGAAAACAGTTCAAGGGTGAACACACATTACACCTATAACATAAAAACAAAGAAAAAAAAGCAAGCAAACAAACAAATCCAACCCAAACCCAACATGAACATCTGTTTTTGCAGAAGATTGCATTATTTAGTGATAGCTTTATTTTAGTACATCAGATGTGCCTGGACAATACCCACCACCAAATACCACTTACAGAAACGATATGATGAACGTAACACCTTTGTATCATTTTATTTTTGTTCAGACTTCCTGACACCCTTGCCAGATTGGATCTAAAAGGAAACGACATAGAGGATGTTGGAGAACAAGAGCTGAAGGACTTGAAACAGCTTCAGGTTTTAAATTTACGGAATAACAAGATATCTCTCTTGGATCGCAAAGTCTTGGAGTATTTACCTCGTCTTCGTCATCTGTATTTAGATGGAAACCCTTGGAACTGCACCTGTGACCTTCTCAGAACCAGAAGAGCACTGGTGGCCAAAGGGACGGATGTCCGGGGAGGGCAGTGTGCAGCACCAGCACAAAGCCGAGGAGAAAGCTGGATGTCTTCCAAAAAGATTCTGCAGCAGTGTGAAGATAATCTGTCTTCCATGGAAAGAGGCAAAGAGGACAGAAAGAAAATTAAACCCAATGAGGCTTCCAGCGTTGGAGTGATCACAGATGATGATTACTACGATTATGAATTAGATTAATGTCACAGTTTATCTGTAGGGAACCTTAAAGTTGTCTAGAGCTTCCCACTGCCATCAGTGTCTCTACTGACAAGCAGTCTTCTCATCTGTCATTAGCTTTTCCTACCTTATTTGTGCTACAAGAAGTAATAACCAGTGACAGAAGGGCTACAGTAAGGGTGCCATTGTGAACTGAATGTTGTAAAAAATATATATTTTTTTCTATACCATTAGTACTATGTAGTTTGAGAGAAGCAAGAATACAATTACTATCTCTTAGAAAAGCAGTCTATAACTCTGTATGGATCTTTTTATAGTAGTACATTTATTATAGTTGCATAAAACCCCACAAATAAAATTCTGCAATACCACAAGACACTATTACTAGGAGCCTGGAATTCAATACATTTAAACTCATGGGACTGTAGGTTGACATGGAGAGTTACATTGATGTGAGCAATTTATTTGGATTGTTCAGAAATTCTTGCTTTTGAGAAATTGATTTCAGTTTTCCTGAAACACTTCCCCTTTTTGTTTATTTTAGACTATTTTAAATGACGTTAGACTAAATCAGCTGAGCTGCAGGCAAAACACAGAAGGCTTATCTTCATCACAGAAAGTGCAGCAAGTGAAATAAATAGAAGAATCAGCGTCCTGGTTAATGAGATTTAATAGTCGTTCTGAAGTTAATAGTGAGGAATGAAAACTCTGGGGTCAAGTTGACCTGATTCTGTTGCTGTAAACAACAGAAGGGAGATTCTCAGGAAATAGATCCTGGCAAACATTAGGATAAGATGAAGTAAGGTGAAGCTCTTTTTTGTTGTTATTTATTTTGGTATCTGAATAGCTAATTTGCTACAATATAGCTCAAGATACTGTGTGTATACTTTTAGGTTAAGTATAATTAAGGCGCAAGTACACACTGCAAATGTCTCCCTTCAATGGCCAGAACTTTCCAGACTTTTGTGCACATACACACAAAAAATGAAGAAATGCTATATAATTAATGCATTAACTCTGATATCTGTACAAACTTTATCAAGCAGCTGCCAAAGTGCTTGAAAACTAAACAAAACTGGATTAGTGAGACCACTAAAGCCAGTGACTTACAAACAGTCGCTTAAGTTAGATCATGATCTCAGGTGATAACTGATGAGTAATTACATCAGCAAATTACTTTTCACAGCAAACAGTTTCTATTATTTTTATCTTCCGTTGGATTCAGTAACTGAGTAATCACTCACCTCCACGGAAGCTGATTTGTCAGGTGTCAGAGTGCAGCTATTTGGTTATGCCTCCTATGCAAATGTGATTGATACATGCGTTTCTTAGGTCCCCCAACACATTAAGCTATGCAATTGGAATAGAAAGACCTAATCACATTTTTCTTTATGTTCCCTTATCATCAGCCTCTGCAGAGGGATCTGCACAGGTTGGATCAATGGGCTGAGGCCAACTGTGTGAGATTGAACAAAGCCAAGTGGCGTGCCTTGCCCTTGGGCCATAACAACCCTCTGCAGCACTATAGGCTGGAGCAGAGGGGCTGGACGGCTGCCCAGCAGAAAAGGACGTGGGGGTGCTGGTCAAGAGCTGGCTAGGTAGGAGCCAGCATGTGCCCAGTTGGCCAAGAAGGCCGATGTCATCTGGCCTGTATCAGCAATAGAATGGCGAGAAGGACCAGGGCAGTGATTGTCCCTCTGTACTCGGCACTGGTGAGGCCACACCCGGAATGCTGTGCTCAGTTTTGGGCCCTTCACTGCAGGAAAGATATTGAGGTGCTAGAGCGTGTCCAGAGAAGGGCAATGGAGCTGGGTAAGGGCCTAGAGAGAGAGTCCTATGAGGAGCAGCTGAGGGAGCTGGGGCTCTTTAGCCTGGGGGAGACTACAGGGGGACATGATCATCCCCTACAACTCCCAGAAAGGAGGTGTGATAGCAAGTCAGTCTCAGGAAACAAGTGACAGGACCAGAGGACACGGCCTCATGCTACATCAGGGGAGATTAAATTGGATATTATGAGAAATTTCTTCATGCAAAGCATTGTCAAGCATAGGCACAGACTTTCCAGGAAAGTGGTAGAATCGCTACCCTGGACGTGTTCAAAGATGTGGATTTGGCACTTAAGAGCATGGTTAAGCAGAAGACTTGGGAGTGCTGGGTTAACAGTGGGAGTTGATCTAGAGGTCTTTTCCAGCCTTAATGGTTCTATGATTCTAAGGTCAGTCACCCGAACTTTTGGTAGCTAAAGATTTAGATATTTATGAAACAGCACAATCCTTCCTTGCAGTTCGAATGTGTTATTTTTGCTGGTTAATGCTGGTCTATATTAAAAGCCGAGAAAGTAGTTATTTTCTGAGCAAGAGAAATATTTTCGTGACACAAAATTCTTCATTCAAATTTTATATTGCCAGATTCTTTTAAAAGAGTGCTTTAAACATCTCCGTGTCATCTCTGCCCACCGATGTGTCTGACAGCATCTCGCCGCTATCGGCTCTTAGTTCATCTTTCACCTGCAGCGGTGTTTCCATCTTCAGGCCCCTGCGCTGCTACAAGCCAAGACAGCAAAAGCCTGGGAGCCGCGGGTTTGTGGAAGGCTCCAGATCACAAAAGAGAGGCTTCTTCTCTTTTTTCTCTCTCCTCTCTCGGGGTGTGCCCCCCGAGGCCGCGCTGTCTGGGATCGGGTCGGGGGCTGCGCTACCTCCGTCTCCCGAGCCCGTTCAGCGGAACCGCCCGGCGGGCACTCATAGCGCGCTTGGAGGGTGAAACCTGCGTTTCGGTAAAGACACCCCTGAGAACTGGCTGCTTCTGTGGCGTCCAGACGCTTCCTCAACCCGCCCCTGCTTCACACACCAACGTGAACGAGGTGCGGCGGGCATCAGGAAAAGCAAGGCTGGGAAGGGCAAAGGGAGGGTCTGCAGACGGCTCTCTGTAAGAGCCGGGAGCTTCGGGCAGAGCCCGACTGGGAGCAGCTCTCGGGGCCCGGCCCCGCCCCGCCCCCGCCCCGCTCCGCCCCGCCCCGCTCCGGCGCCTTCCCTCCCGCTCCCGGCACCGCCGGGCCATGGCCAGCAGCGGCCGCCAGGGGGCGCGGCCCCGCCCCGCTCACAGCCCCGCCCCTCCTTCTCTCGCGGCCACGTCACTCGCGCTCCGCGGGCGGAAGCGACGTCATCCCGCCCGGCGGCCAACGGGCGGCTCGCGTGTGGCGGGTTGAGAGGTGAAAGATCAGGCGGGGCGGCGGGAAGATGGCGGCGCTGGCGGTTGCCGGGCGGGGGACAGGGGCTCCGTGAGGGGATGGCGAGGCGAGCGGCGCGCAGCGGCTGAAGCTCTCCCGCCGCTCCCCCGCGGGCCCCGCGCGTTCCTGTCGGTCGGTTCCATGAGCGGGGCGGGCGGTCTGGCGTGGCGCGCGCTGCACGCGCTGGTGCGCGCCTTGCTCTGCCTGCAGCGCGCGCTGCTCGCGTGCCTGCGCGGCCGCGCGGCCGCCGCCGCCGCCACCTCTTGCGCGCTCCTGGCGCCCGCCGCCCGCGCGCTCGGGTTCCGCGAGGCGCGCGCGGCCTGGCGGCGGCGAGGACCCGCGCGCGGCGGGGCGGCGCGCGGACGGCAGCGGTGGCGCGCGGACGGGCGCGCCCTGCGGAAGCTGCCGGTGCACGTGGGGCTGGTGGTGACCGAGGAGGAGCCGAGCTACGCGGACATGGCCAGCCTGGTCGTGTGGTGCATGGCCGTGGGCATCTCCTACGTCAGCGTCTACGACCATAACGGTGAGCGGCGGCCGCGGTGCCCCTGGTCCCCGTCCCGGGCGGTGGCCGCCCTGGGAGCGCCTCCTGGCGTGGAGCCAGAGGGCCGTGCTGCTCTGGGGTCCGGTGCTGGCCTCTCTCCTGGCAGCTCCTTTCGCATCCGCTGGAGCTGCTTGGCCGCTGCAGAGCTCCTGTCCCTGGGGAATGGCCCAGTTGCCCTTCTGGCCCAGCTCCTGTGTCGGATGACCCGGTCTTGCGTGCTTTCTAGAGCCTTGTCCACAGCCTTGGGCTGACAGTAACTGCGGACATCTGAAAGCCTAAGGCAGGGACTGTTAATTGGGAAGAGCCTTCGGCTACCTGCTCTTATGACTGCTGTTTATGAGCTAGGGCTGAATCTCCAGAAGTGAATGAATGAAAGTAGCCTTCTGTTTTCAGGTACTCCTATATGAAGTAGTTAAACACAGGCATGTCCTGTGTGCTGTCTGTATTATGAAATTGGACTATGTGATCTGCATTTGGTGCTGCTTGGCCTTTGAGTTAATGCTGAGCCAGTGTTCCTGGAAGCTCTGGTGTTTTTTCATATCTGCTATGTGATTTATTACTGTGCCTCAGGTGTAAGACCATTGAACTCTGGCTCTTTGTAGGTATGTTGATTTCACGTCACTGACTATCATAAAGATAAGCTCAGAGTTTGGGTTTCACATACTATGAGGAAATGATGGAACAAATCTGTCTTCCTCATACCTGTCCTTTCCTAGTGGGGAGCTAAAACCAGCCATATTCAAGATATTCTTAAGTGAAGCTTTCTGTCTAGCTGTTGAGAGATAATCTCTAACTTGTACTGGGCAAGCTGTCAACTCAGAAGGGCTAGCAACATTGCATGGACTGTGTCTTGTTTCTGTCCTCTGCAGAGGAAAATGGTTCATTCTGAAGATCCCTGTGCTCTTGCTGTCAGGGGTTAGACTGTAGGAGACCAGGGTTTAACTTGCTTTGGGCCACTTCCAATGGATGTTTAGAGGTGTTGTGCAGGTTAGGTGAACTGTGTGGATTTATGCCAGGTTACAGGTACAGTTGTCTTCTAGTCCTCTTCCTGGAAATGCAGTGCAGCAGTGCATCCCACATAAGTAGGTGAAGTCTTTTGCCATCAAGTGTGCAAAAGCATCTGATGTATGCAGACCTTTCCTTGAGCATAGGCATTTGTGATTTTTAAAAATTTTTCACTTGTTTTACACTATCACCATTTATAGTTCTGTTACATGGTTGCTTCTATGCCATAAAAGACTCGGAAGACTTGACTTTCACTAAATTCTCTAAGATCATTATGAGAAACTGGTCTTAATACCAGTCACTTAGCAGTTTAAACTGGCCATCTGTGCAGGGCTATTGTGGAACTTGGTTATGTTGTATTTCAGAGGGAGAACGTTTCGTTGCTTGGAAATCAAATAATGATATAAAATATTAGCATAACATCTCAAGCACACAGAGAACACCTTCTGAAAAGTCATTTATATGTTGACCGGTTTTGCTCCCAACTTGGAAAGCATTTAACCAGGTGAAATGCTGCAGAGCAAACAGCACCAAGGAAGAGAGAGTTTCCCCACAGCTTGAAGAGAGACATTTTTATTTTACAGGATCTTTAACTTGTGTCAAACCTCAAATAAACTATGGGCAGTATTGCCTAATATGTTATGTATGTTGTTTAGTTCCTTTTTAGATTCCAGCACTGTGCTCCACAAATTATACATATGAGAACTGAACTGAAGAACGGATCAAGCTGAGAATCATGTTTCTTGGTCGTCTTGGTTTTCATCTTGCTTACTCTGCAACACTGAGGAGGGAGAGGGCACAGCCAGTGCTTAGGTAGCCACTGTTGCTGAGCTCCTGCCTCACAGTGAGGAGCCAGAGTTGTAGCAGTATCTGAAACATTATTTTTTGAGAACCTACTACTGCTTGCTTCTCCAGCATGTGTATAAATTGAGTCAGATCTAAGATTGATTGTTAGAACACTAAATATGATGACCGGAAATTGAAAGGTTTTGTCCCCTGAAGAGCTGAAATAACCTTGCAGAACAATTGTTATTGCTAGCAGTTCATAAAAAAAAATCTTGGGTTATTTGCTGCTGTATCCATGTATTGTTTCATTCATTTTAAAGTTATATATGTGAATCATTCACTTTTGTTCTGTGATGATATTTTTTGTTTTGGTGTTGGGAATTTTTTTTTTTAGTTTTGTTGTTTTTATTAAGTGCAGGTTGTGTGATGAATGTGGATTTTAATTTTTCATTCTAAAATTATATGTTAAGAGGTTTTGCTGTCATCTCTGAAATCTGAAAATACAGCTATTATCTCATGATTTCTGTATCAAAACATTTTTCAGTAGCTTGTTCTTCTGTTGGTCCTCTGATACTAGAATATGCTAGTTTAATTGCTAGCTTGATTTCCAGTCTGTTGGAGCAAAATCGAAGAAGGCAGATCAACTAAAAAGTTTTAAGTCTGTGGCTTTTGCCAAACTTCCAGGGTTGATGAGAATCGCCTGCCATTACACTTCATGTTCCACAGATGTTCAATGGGTTTTCCAGGATAGCAGCTGCAACTGCTTTGTGCACAGCTGACTACAGCTACACTGTGCTACACTGACTTCAGCTTCAGAGAGCAAGCAAGTAGTCATTCATGCAGCTCTAGTGTATGCTTACTGCTGGTAATAGCACATATGCTGCCTTTCTTTTGGTGCTAAGCTCCTTAGGGTGTCTTGATTGAGCATACACCGTTTCCAGATAGACTTGTCATTAAGTAGGATGTTGCAGCTGTTGCTAAATCCAGTGCTCGGTGGTGGAGCCTGAAACCTTCAGCACTAACACTGGTAATAGTGAAGGTGAATAAAGTCAGGTACAACTTGCTCTTACCAGTAGCAGGGGGTGACTCAATTACAGTGTGCACTTGTTTCCATCCACTCAGATGGTGAGGGGACTCACTGCTGAGCGACTTCTGTGAGGATTTGTGTTCATACAGTTGTACCGACTATTGATTTGTCTAAGTCCCCACTGGTGCTGGCTGTAGTGGAGAGGGAAAACTAATTAAAGTGCTCTGGATCAGTGTTAGCTGTGGTGCTGTATGCCGTAATTTGTTTCTTTTCCTTCACTGCATATGTACAGTACTGAGATTCTTTTGAAACCTTGTTTACAAGCATGGTCTTTCGTGGTTGCCTTCTCTGCAAGAAATAGTGTTTCGGTTTCCTGCGGAAGGATTAAATTCAACATATATCCTTAACTGCCCCTTCTACAGGAGGAAAGGGAAGCATGAAATTCTTTACAGAAGTGCTAGATAAGCTGTTAATTTGTTTATAATAGGGAATTTCTATATTTTTTACAAAATTGCTAAGTAGAAGGTTGTTCATGTATTCTTCAGTGTCAAAAGAAGTAGCTGCATTCCAGCTGACACTGTTTTGTTACAGCAGCTGCACCAGTAACTGTAAAGACAACTTGGCTGGAGTTGTGTAGGGCTCAGAACTGAGACTTTCTCTGTTGCCTCAGCATGTTTGGAGGCCCAAGCTGGCCTGGCTTTATTGTCCCTGGTGTGTGGAAGCACTTTCTCTCAATTTTCCTTGATGTGCAGCATGACAAAGCCATAATAAACTTAATGCTACTGTGCGCACCTGGGTTAAATAGTGCAAGCTAAAGTTTCAGGCTTTTGATCAAGATTTTATTTCTGTTGACTTCTGTATTGCCAGTCCTATTGGTAGAAATCTAGCCATTCTTCTCAAGACCTTATCTCTGAGGAAATACTGGAGCCTTGTTGCAGTCAGAAGGGATTGATAGTGCAATAATGTAATAGCACTTAAAATACCTTCTGGGGAGCAGAAGCCTTTTACTAGTGCTGTATGCTTTAACTTTCTTTTGGTAGTTGTTTTGCAATTTGTGAGAGCTTGATTGAGTGTTACGTCTGTGAAACTTTCCTGATATAGTTTAGGACAAGTCTAGAGTGCTTTTTGGGAGCTTGCTGAATCTCTTGGCACTTGGTACTTTAGACTTCTAGATAGATGCTTCACGCTGAACGTTTCTTAAAGCCCATAGTGTGACTGAATTGAAAATTTGGACTTATTCATCCTGATTTTATTAGCTTTCTAGTGAACTGCTTTGCTTCTGACTGCTTTTCTCTTAAACTGTTTGGAAGGATAGAGTATGCAAAAGAAATTACTTCATTAGCCACAAAGGAGGTTTCTGGTCTCTTCTAGATAGATTACTTGGTAGTTTAGCTGATTCAATCATTCCATAAAATCTTCTGGGTGTGCAGTGTGTTCATTTCACTGGGCAAGATAAATACGTTGTGGTTTTATGTCACTGGGAAGCTTGTGAGATACCAATATCATATGTCATCTGCTGTGGGCCTTCACCCACGTGAAATTTCATGTTCAACAATTGTGTTTTGGTATCGACTTGAGAGGAATTCTCAGATCACATTCATTAAAAGGGATAGCTCTAATCTATAGAAAGTAATCACTTAAAAGAATGGGACATATAAAAGAGGTATCTTTTCTTTCAGTTGTTGATGAGCTTCTGTTCTCTTAGTGCAGAATGTCCCTCCAAGAATAAATGTGAGAGGAATGGTCACCTGTGGAGTTCTAAGTCAAATTCTTTGCTTGGTTAGTGCTGTCTTAAATGGCCTTAATCTGACTGAAATCTGAGTGACTTCAGCTACATTCAAACTTGGATTTTTTTTTTTTATTAGACTCTTGGAATAAAGGAGGTATTTGTTTTTAGCTTTCCATGTCCCACGAGGTCCAGTGTAATGGCTGTGCTTTTTTCTGTTATCAACCAACATGATCCAACAGGATGTAGGCAAAAGTTGTTCATATATTAAAACAGTTTCTTGCATGTGCATGCTTTGAAGTGGCTTGTTATTTAATGTTCTCAAAGTGTTAATACCTGATAACAATTACAACTTTTGATTACTCTTTCCTTGTCAGCACTGGGAAGAAGTTGAGAAAGCAAATAACTGAAATGTTGTGGAGATATGTTCTTTACTAGACTCCACTTTGGTAAGGTGTTCCCTTGCAAGGATGAGCTAACTCTTATTCTGTGCTTTACCAGATTCTGCTGCTTTAAAAAGCAGGGCAACTAAGAATGTTGAACTTTGAGATGCCATTAAAGCATTAACAGGTGATGACTGTGGTAGTCCAGTAAGACAAACAAATGGTTGACATCACTTGGTGGTGTTTCTTTGTGGTAGTTTTTTGCTTCCAGTTCAAGATCTTGTCACTTCTACACCTGCTTGCCACTTAATTACAACTTGCAGCCTCTTAATTACAAACTTCATTTATCAATATCTAACCCTAAAATATTGCAACACCATGGTTGCAAGTAAAGGGGCATGGCTTGTAGATGCTGTAAATCTGAGCAAAAGGTATATGCCCTGGAAAAGACCTGTGTAATGGAGGACTGCTGCAGGAAGCTAAAACACTTCTGGTTTGCCTGAGTTCCAACAGCAACAAATGACTGACAGCACGCTTGCAGCTTGTGTTGTAAAAAAAAAAGTACTATCCCTGAAAACAGTTCACAAGTTCTCAGTAGTTAAAAAAAACCAAAGCAGGATGGAGAGTCTTATACTCTGGCTTTGGGAATTTTAGTGCTTAAATATATGTAATTCTTAGAACACTTCATTTGCAGGAATACACACGTTTGCACCAGCTTGCAAAGGTTCCCGAGTTCTGACTGAATGTTTCTGCTTTTCAAAACGAGAAAATCTTCTGATGAGAAATTATAGTGACAATTTCATATTTGTGTTCCATATTATAAATATGACTAATGCCACATTTTTTTCAGTTAACAGCAAACAGCTGTTGTATTTCTAAAAATTATTAGACCTTTGTCAAACCATAATTTTTTTATAGTATTAAAATCACATTATGAACTTACTTTAACTTGTGTGAAGGACTGTGAACAAAATTGGAGGGTAGCAGTAAATGAGGAGTCAAGTTTCACTACCTAGAAACACATAATTCTGTTACCGAGTTGGCCTACTCATGCACTTATTTGCTATATTTGTCATGTTTTAATTAAGCAACAGCATCTCCCAGAACTAACTTGGGTACATTGACAAAGTTTAAAAAAAATGAGCCTTCTAGTTAAATGGGGGTTTGAGATACTGTAAGAGAAAGGAGAATATAGCTGAGTCATGATCATTTAAAATTCTTGAAGTTGAATGTGAATTTGGCCTGTGAATATTGCATTTGGCAGGACTATGTTTGCAGTGATGTGCATTCATAAGTTTTTTATGCACTGACTGAGAGACAAATGTTGAAGGAGTATTTCCAAATGCTGTTGGGTTTTTAATTAAGATCTGAGTTAGTCTGAATTTTTACTACCTTCTGCTGTGATTCAGGATCTTCTCTTCAGGAAAGCTGTGTATGTGTCAAGGTTGGTGGATCAGTGGGAATTTAGGTGTGGAGGCCTTTCCAAGGAAAGTGTACTGCAACTACATGATAAAACTCTGGTGGCTTCCTATTTGTTAAACTGCTATTCCAAGAGCCATGCAGTCCCCAAGTTTGAACAACTGAGGGGATGGATGATAAATGAGCAGAATAGAAGGGTGATACTCAGATAAATCTTAAGAACACATTTATTTAGCAAGTCTTCTGTATCTGTCTGTGTTAAAGACCTTCACTTTGGAGCTGGACCAATTCCGTTATCAGATGTATCTTTATACTGAGAACAAACACCTTGGTCAGTTGTTCTATCTGTTGTCCTCAATGTATTAATTCACTTTAGAGCTGGAGTGTGGAGTCTTAAATTAGTTCTTCCGGTGTTTGGCAGGAATAGGCAAAAACCTTTCACAAGAAGGGATTTGATAATAGTGTTGGGTGGGAAAGGGGAAGAGGAGGAGCAGCTTATTTTCCAAATTAGGAGCCTTTCCTAATTATGTCACCTGTTTTTCTGGATATTGAACAGTTTTATTTCTTATATCTAAAAGTGTCTGGAAGTCAAGTGATTCTTAAAAGTGAGGCACATGCAGCCTTGTACAGATCTTCCTTGAAGAATGTGCAGGATTAGCAATTGCAGTGGCTGCATTGCTGCTGACCTTGGGAGTAAGGAAGACAATCTGTGCTAACCCCAGCATGAAACAGACTGAGCCAGGCACAGTTGTATCAAACAGTATTATTTAAAGCAGCATTCCCAATTTCTGTTACGTATGAGTATGCTCTAGAAAATAGAAGAACAAAGAGCAACAATTTAACTTCAGTTTAAACTTAGCAAAAGTATTCTAACACACTTTTTTCTGTAGAGGTTTGTGCCTTACCACAACTTGCTTTTCTGTAAATACGTGAAATAAACTGTAAGCATCACTGACGCTTATATAACAAAGTAGGTTTGTTTGTTTTTTTTATTTTTACAGGATGAGAGGAAAAACAGATACTTTGCCCCACCTATTAAAACCTCTAATGAAGCCTATAGAAAAGTTCTAATTCACTAGGCCTAAAGGCTAGCATTTTAAATAAGTGCATTGTATCACTTCATATTGCAAACTAACTCTTAGTGTATTACAGTGTTAATCCAGTGCTTCTACACTGTTTGACCAATGTGGGAACTGTTGTAGCAGTTCTAGATCCTAGAGTCAGATTGTGGTGCTGAATCCTAACCCTGATCATAAAATTGCATGTTTTTCATTGCCCTTTGAACTGTCTACATTGTAAGATTAGTGTATGGGCATTTTTAGACTGGTCAGCTGAAGTGTTTGACATAAGGTTTCTGACTGAAGCTCAGTAAAAGTCTCTGAATACCATGTGATAAAAGCATTATCCAGTTCCTAAGTGAATATGCCTAGCCGTGCTTTTGGATTGTAAATATTTAAGCTGTAACATTTTGTTTTACCGTGGTATTTAATTAGAAATAATTATGTTTCTCAAAAGCTAGAATTTATTTTAGTACAGGAACCCAAATATGTTTGAAACAGGCTTTTGTGATTTCCTGCATTCACAATGTGTCTACCTTAAATGTGTAAGTAGAAAAAGGCTTTGGGGACTGCATGAATTCTTTGAAACATACAGTTTGTGAAATTGTCTTATTAGGAAATCTGTGCTATTGGATGGCTTAAGAGTGGGCAGTTACTGAGACCTGAAATGCTGATTCAGTGGCGACTTGCTTTGTTAGCCTGCAGCCTTAGGGATGTGGCAATAAGTGGTAGCAGACATAAACAGCGTGGTGCTTATTTGGTGTTAATCTGACTTGGTTGTTCTTTGCTAATTATTGCTTTCTTTATTTCTGGCATACTAAGGACAATGAAGTAAGTCTTAAGCTATCCCTTACACAGTTGCAGTTTGCTGCTTGAATCAGGCTGGGTGAAAGAAGAACGAAAGCACGAGTTGTCTTTCCAGGTCACTCAAATTAGTCATGTGCGGTAGAATTTGCTTTGAATTCTTACCCACACTTGTGAACTCTAGTCTGGATCCAGTACTGACAATTTTTTCTTCTTGCCTAGTGTCAGATTTGTTTTGTAACACCCTTTATAGAAGTTGGCTGACATGCAACTTTTTTTTTTTTTAAAGGCATTTTCAAGAGGAATAATTCAAGATTGATGGATGAAATTTTAAAACAGCAGCAAGAACTCTTGGGACTAGATTGCTCAAAGTACACCGGGGAATTTGCAAATCACGACAAAACTGGTCAAGGTAAGATGAACTACAAGAGGGTCTTGGTATGCCTCTAAATAGCTGTATATCAGTCATAGATCTGCTTTTACTTAAACACATTCCTGTGTGCAGTGACCTTTTTCTTCATTAAGAACTGATTATCAGAAAACATGCAACCTTCCTGAGCTAGTATTAAACTTCTAGTGTGGTTATTTGTTCTTAACTAACAGCAAAGCACTGCTCTGTCCTTGCTGTAGTAATCATTACTGGGTGGTCTGATCTTTCCTTCAGCCTGACTGTTGTGCCATGGCCCCTTCAATACATCAGTGTGCCTTCACTCCTCACTATTTCAGTGAAGTAAATTCTTTTGCTGAGAATTGAAAAAGTGCTGAAGTGTAAGGGGACTTACAAGCTAACAATGTGTGTTCTTCCATCTTCCAAACATACACCTCAAAGTGGGAAGGAGAAAGGGAAAGAGAGGACTGCTGATTGTCATGGCAAGGTATAATGCCATCAGGAAGGTAAAGGGCACAAGTTAAAAGAATAAATTTGGTAATAATAGCTTTTGCATGTATTTAGATGTGGAAAGCAGGAATAGGTTTCAAGGTTGATGTTCTTTATTTGGTAGTATCTGCTATAAGTAGTCATTTACTTATCTGCTGCCTAAGACAAATGCTTGAAGTCTGTTCAAAATATAATAAATTACAGGCATGTACTTGAATCAGGCCTTTGTCTTAAAGGGATGGGCTGATACAGTTCTCCAAACTGCAACTCATAATATTTAAGCAGGTCTTGTAAAAAAATACCTAAACAACCTTTGTTTTAAGATCATCATAGTTCAAATACTTACGAAAAGACTGCACAAATTGTGGTATTTAGCTGTGTTTAAAACGCTGTTTGCAGATGTTGCCTCCCCTATGAGAGCTGACTGGATACCAAAATCCTTTGTGCCAGTTTTCCAGTATAAAGTGTAATATTGTAACATGAACTTGTTTTATGAACAGCTTAGCCTAAAATGCTAGCACTTTTGTGGAAGAACCCAGGTTTCATGCTATTTTTTTTTTCCTGTCAAGGTTGAAATAACCAGCAGAAAATGGGGTCGGCAGGCTATTATGTGTTTAACTCCATCATACTTAGCTACATTTACATGAGTTGGGTTATTTGTGTTCACACCAAACAAACTACTGAAAGACTTCTTAGACTTGCTGATGAAAAGTGTGCGTTTAAATCTCAGGAACCGTTTGTGCTGGAAACTGTGAAAAGCAGAGGTGTTTTCTGTTCTCTTTTTAAGTTCTTCATTCTTTTTTAGAAGGCTTCATAGTCAGATCAGATGTTTCAGCTGAACAAACTGACATCTATCCAATTTATTATCTGCAATTTTTCACTTCTGAAAAACAAAATTGCATGTATTACATTTAGGGATACTGTTAAATATTTTTTAATCTAGGACATTGGATGCGAATTTGCAAATCAAGCAATATTATGGAGCAATTCTTTTCATTGTGCTAGCATTGGATAGATGAACTGAGGGGTTTTACATGTTCTTACAAATCTTGACTGTGCTGTGTGATCCTTTGCAGTCAGGTTCTGCAGTCTTAAGAAACGTTATTTTTAAGTATCTGGTTGTAATTATCATAAGTTTAGTATCAGCCTCAAGTGTTGACACTTTGGTATTTAACCCACTTAACTTCAAGCCAGCTAGAGTGAACCATCTGTGGCCTTCAGCTTCCTTGGCAAGTTTATTTCTTAGGTACCTTACCAGAGCTGACAATGATGCAAGTCATATTGTATGAGAAGACTCTTGCTTCTCAGTAGTGTAGGATTAAGATTGTGAAATGTCCTCTTAAGTAACAGACATAATTACAAATGAATAGATGAATTCTGGGCTATTATCTTGTTCCAAGCTTCACTGTAGCAGTCTTAGATCCTTACTGTAACTCTTGCATCAAGATGCTGTGATCAGAGTGAGGGAGGCCCCCATTTTAATCATTGTCACATGAATGTACAGAGTAGCTGTTAAAAACACCTTCCTCTTCTAGGGTAGAAATTAGTTTGTTGGGTTTTTTTTTTCCTTTCCCTGAACTCCTTAAGTTACTATCCCAAGCACCTTTCTTCTTAGTGCTTTTCCTGACAACATAAGAACCAATGCAAATTTCTTGAAAAACTACATTTCAAGACTGAATTAAACCCCATTCTCACAAGATTTCTCAAAGTAGTTTTCTTAAGCTTGTGTTTTAGTAATACAGGAAATTCAGAAAACTTACCCACTTCTCTAAGAGACAGGTGAGGTATATCTGTGACTAGCTGTAATATGTGAATTAAACTACAAGCTACTTTCAACTGTATCTGTGACTATCTAAAACACATGCAAACCAGTTATATTTGTTGCTTTTAAACTGTGTTTTGTACTTTCAGTTTTAAATTGCCAATCTACATTGAAGGTGCTGTCTCCGGAAGATGGAAAAGCAGACATAGTCAAAGCTGCTCAGAACTTCTGTCAGTTGGTAGCACAGCAGCAAAGAACACATTCAGACCTGGATGTGAATATGTTAGACAACTTATTAAGTAGTAAGTATAATGTGGAGGGGAAAGAGTACTCAATTAGTAACAATTTGGTTACTAGTATATTTATTGCTTGGAATCTTGATGCTTAGTCTATCAGAGTAAGTTATGATTATTGCTTTTAGACTTCTGTTAAAAAATTTATTGCCTTTTGAGCTGTTCTTTTAAGCAGAAAAATTCTTTAGCAGAAATATTAAGCTAAATTGCAGGGTTTTGGCTTTTCAGAGTTTATAGCCTCTGTGGTATGTTCTGCAATGAGCTTTTTGAAAAAAGTACTACTGGGAGTACCTAAGACTACTCTAATTTAGGTAAACTTCCTGCAAGTTGCAAGCTGCAAACATGGATGGGCAGAGTCTTTTCCAGATCTGGTTACAGCAATTTAAAGCTGTTCCTGCTGCCTGACTACTACCCTGAGTGAAAATGATAGAACACTTGCTGTTCTCTTGCTGCTCTATAACCCACACTAGCTTAGTTGTCTTCATTACTAATTCATGCAGATAACTGACTCTGCACTGAGATTGTGTGACTACATGCAATAGCTCTGAAAAGGGCAGGACTGCCCTAGTATAACACCTGGGAGAAGTAGTTTAGAATTAGCACCCACTTTTCTAGTGGTACTATGGAGCTATAATGAGTTTCTTAGCTTGCCTAGGAGATCTGTGCATGTTAATTGTAGCTGTAATTAGCTTGGCAGGGTTCAGGTTTTAGATTGCACACTTGAACTTGGATCCCTTTAGGCACATTATTGTAGTGTGGTCCCCATTAATTGGACTTTAGAGAGTGATTTCTTCTTTTTCATGTGTCTGGTCAGCTGAATTGTACTGTGGATGGACTTCCATGGCAGTTTGGCCATTTAACTTCAAACCAAATTCCATTCCCTGTTGTCAGCATCCTCCTAAAATGGAACTATTAAATGTGTTCAATAGGGCACCTGAAGAAGAGCTTAGAACATCTATTCTGTTATACCCTAAAGGCAGTTAAAGGAAATTAACGACTGCCTCTTCAGAACAGTCACTAATGTAATGGAGGACTGGTGACAATTGCTACCCATTGTGTGTATTTTGGCCAGTGATACTTAACTGCAGCTTTTCAAACTTGCTGGGAATCTTCTGTCTGGATATATTAAAAGTATTAAGGTCCAATCTTAAAATTTGCGGATTTATTTTAGGAGTATTGCATGCTAGCTGAGCGCAGAAAGAGATCTAATCTGTCAAAATGATGAACCTTGAAATAGGCTGCTTCATCTATGTGGCTAGTAATTAAGGATAATATCTGTAACTAGTCATACTTATTAATTTGTTTACTTAATGTTTAGGACATTGTTGGAGGCGAAGTATTCTTTCATGACTTATTTAGCAGCAGCTTTTTAAACTTTGTTTTACTTGTAGGCAAATTTAGTTTGTGTGCATTTTTACTGGAACAGTATTGAAAGTAAGCATCTGTGCATTACTGATTTGAGAGCATGTTTTGAAAAGCAATACTTGAGTAGTTATGCTCTTAGAGTTTGCATTCATGCTGTCTTATGTAAATCTCTGGGATTTTAAATTTTGATTTAAATACCTGTTAATGTAGTTTTTAAACTTTTTGTTCATGTTTAGGGTGCAGTTATTGAAGCCTAGTCCTAAAATGGTATGATTCTAGCTTGTCATGTGGCTTTTTTTGTTCTTAATTCAGTCATGCACTTAATTCTTACAGCTTGAGTTTTCTGCAGTGTAAGAGTACTTTCTTCTGAGCAATGCCTCAGCCTAACCAGCTTGTTTTCAGAAAAGTAGGTGCCACCTGCATTTTAATATTGTCTCTGCTTGCTGTCTGTCTGCCTTCCAGCAAAGAACATGACTATCAATTAAGGCTACTCAAGTTGCCCTGTAAAATCTATGTGGAAAAAAGAAGGGTAGAGTTATCAGCTGTAAAATTCCTTCATGTTCCCCTTGCAGAACTGCTGACCTAGAGGGAATGTTACCACATTCCCATCCTTTGAGTGTGCAAGTCTTTTGGCCTCTTGTTTTTTAAAATCTGCTCCCAAATCCTTGTATCCTGTGTATAATAAATTGACTGATGTAACTCTAGCAGCTCTGAGGGAGCTTCAACCTGTAAATTATCTGTAGTGCTGCTACGTTTGGGTAGAGAAATGGATGCAGAGTGGAAAGCACATACAGTGTTTTTTAGTAGGCTATTCTGACAGTAGTACTACAGTGTGCATTTTCATTTTCCTTCAGATAGGATCCAGAAGGAAATGTTAGCATTAACTGGGCTCTCTGAAGGTCTTTTCCTGTTTGAAAAGTGATTGCAGTATTGAAGATCCTGCTGCTGTACCAGCTGAGGAGTACTCAGCTACTGAATCAGCTGATGAGTAAAGCTGTCCACTTCCTCCAGTCCCCACTTCTAAGTATTCACTGCTTCCCTGCAAAGCTCTTTCATACTAATGTGCTAGCTTCTGAACACATAAGTGACTTTTGCATTGCAATTTTTTTCTTAACTTTGTGATAACATTTGGACTGTGGCACAAGATACTCCTATCTAAAAGCTTCATCCTTCCTTAGAAATGCACATGCTTGGGAAAATACCTTTTACCAGAGGTAAAGAAGCTATCACCACTATTGTGGTGATTCAGTGGGGAGGGAAGATGTGAACTTCTTGAAAAATCTCCAGCTTTGGTTTGAAAATTGGGGTGGAGCAAAATCTGACCTTAGTTTCCTTTTCTATTATTCCCAAAGTTAGGTTCCTCCACAAATAATCTGAAAATTGTAAAAGGCTCTTGACTGCTTTTGTGTAGTGGGCTTTTTTTTATTTAAGCAAACGAAGAAAGAATTGAGAAATAACATTGGAAGTTTGGAGCAAGTAGGCTGTATTAAACTTTATGTGCTAAAGGTAGTCATTACCCAGTATAAGGACTCTTGCACTTAACCTGCAGAATTGATGGATAGTGACAAGAAATTACCTGCAATAATAATGACTAATTGCAGCATTATAGCAAAATAGGGTTATAAATGCTGGAATGCTCTTCAGATGAGCTAGGTAGGTGCAAGAGGAACTGTTTAGTTTCTTGGGTCTCCTTGGGGTGCTCTACTGGCTTTCACATGTTGCTCTAATCAACTTGCTAGAATTAGCAGGGAAAGCTGGACTCAGACTGCTCATTCTAAGCCTATTTCCTGTCTGTCAGTTTTAGCCTGGAGCAGCTTAGGCACTGCAGAAGACTATGGAAGGGAGACAGAGACAGTGGTGTTTGGTCACTAACTGTCTTCAGCCTCAGAAGATGAGTAGCATGCTCTCACGAGGGAATGACTGTCTGGGGCTTTAAGGTATGGGTAGTAAGAGTGTAGGCACCTAGTGGAATTCATCAGTATTATCTAGCTCTGCCCTAGCATGGGTCAGGTTGTCCACTCAGTAACAGAAAAAGACACACTGCCCTGGTCTTCCTCACTCTTCTAACCAGACAGATGGCAGGTGCAAGTGTCTTTGAAATTTTATAGTAAGTTGGTTTTTAAATTTATGTCTTAGTCTCATACTGAGAAAGACAGGTCATGTAACAAGGTTGTTTGGTTTTTTTTTTTTTTTTTTGATGGTCTGTAGTACCAAGGTGCTCTTCATGAAACTTCCTTAAGCGGTTTTTTTTTTCTTTGTGTGTGTGTTAATAGTCCTTTCACTCTGCTTGTCTGGAGTATAACATAGTTAAGTAAGGACCGTAGTAGGTAGAGTCAGGGTACAGCATGTTCTGTGCTACTAAAACTGAATTTGCCAAGACAAAACTAGAACAAGTCAGATGAACCAGCATTGTTAAGGTTTGCTGTTACTCAAAACAATGTAACTGTTCCTTCCATAGAAAGTCTTTGAAAACTACCTGACATAAAAATAACAGTCCAGCTGGGCCTGCAGTGGCTGCCTAAGCTTTTACTCAGTTGGGCATTCAGGTGTTGCAAGACCAGTCTGTCCTCTTGGGCTTTTAATTGTTAACTTGTCCTTGGGATCTTCGTTAAAAAAAAAAAGGGCATTTAGTGAAAAAGCAGATGCCTTAGGGATTAGAGCTAAAACAAATCCTCTGATGAATTTGATAAAACCTAATGTAATTTGTTATTACAGGTACAAATGGATTTCCTGATCCTGATTTAGTCTTGAAGTTTGGTCCTGTGGACAGCACATTAGGATTCCTTCCATGGCACATCAGACTAACAGAAATCATGTGAGTTGCTTTTAAATGTTGTGAAACACACTGGAATGAAAAATATCCAGCTAAACAAGTCTTTATCATGTAACTTATGAAACTGGCCAAAAGAGGAGATCCAGCTAAACAAGTGTCTGGGGATTTATTTGAGGGTATTTTAAAATTTATTAAATGAAACCTGTCAAACATTCATTGTTGTTTTTTTTTTTAGCTGACTAGGCAACAACTAGGCAACAACAGGCTTCACGCCTCAGGTTTAAGGAGCAACTTCTGTCACCACCTAGTCTGTGGTCCAGTCCCATTTGACAGTGTTCCTTACATCAGTGTTGATTCTCTGTGGCTTACAGGTTTCTGACAGGCAAACTAAGGATACAAGGGAAATGGGATAATACGAGAAGATCACACTTATGGATTACTTTTCAGTTTTAATAATAACTGAACTGACTAGATTTGCTGAACTTCTTAAATCCCAGTGCTTTTATAGTGCAGTGAAATGTGTGGGCACAACTGTGCTGCTCCAGCTTTTCACTGGTTTGAAGGGCCCTGTGTGCTCTAATGGGAGGCTTTGGTTTAGAGGGTGAGAGGTTTAGTTGTTAAGAGTTGAGTTACAATAACCATGCTGAGAACAGCTTCACAAGGTTACTCAGACAGTAGCTTGATTTTAGTGATATACCTGAGTGGCTGTATGAATAGTGTGGTGTATATAAAAGCTTATTTTAATGTTTCTAACTTGCTTTCTCAGTTCTTTGCCTTCCCACCTAAACATCAGCTATGAAGACTTTTTCTCTGCCCTCCATCACTATGCAGCCTGTGAGCAACGCTGGGGAAAATGACTTTGGGCTGAGTGCATGGAGTGAAGCTTTCTGTGGGAAGGAACTGATGTCTGTTTACAAGCACCTGTGACCCATATGTCTGGTTCATAGTCCTTTCTTAATTTATCAAAAAAATTCAATAAAGTGTCTTACCTTTCTAGAGAGTCTGTGTGAATGCGTGAGAATCTATGGGGGGGGAATTCACAGATTCCCTCTTTGAAAAAGACAGTTACTAAAAACAAAGCTGAATTGCCCTCACTTTGACATTCAAGTGTCAAAATGAACATGCAAGAATTAAGTGTTGTGAAATCAACAGGACAATGTAAATAGGAGTTCCGTGCTCTGAAGATGCTTAAAACTAAGAAAGAACTTCAACCTTTGTTCCTTAATTCTTCATGGTCAGACATTTCAGAGCTAATGGTTTATCTTCAGTTATATTTTCTATGTGAATTCTAGAGAAGCTGGTTTTGTTAACTGAAAATAGAGTCTGCAACTTGGCTGGGATGACTAAGCCAACTGTAGGTGTTAAGTTCTAGAAATACTGAGAAGATTCCATAAAAAGGGATGGAAGCTTCTATGGTAAGTGGATTAGGCAGTCTCTGTTGCACTATCCAGCTTTTTTTTTTTTTTTAAGTGGTGGAATGAAAGTATTCCTACAAGCCCTGAGTGAATGGAACATCTCTCAGCATCAGGTCAGTTTTCCATTGGGAATAAGCATAAGCAGTACTATGTATTGTTTGTATACCTGTTCTCCCCATAACACGCTCACTCAAAGTAACAAGCAGGATAAGGCTCTGGCATAATTTGCTGAAAGATTTGAAAATGGGCTGAGTCAACTTCCATGGCTAAATGTGATTTACTGCTTGTACTTGTGTGCCCGGCAAGGGAGTCTGCTTAAGCCTTTTATTATTTTTATTTGTTCTGAACTGAGCATTAGAAGTTTGAATGGGACAAAGAAGGAAGATGAAGTGAAGCTGCCCTACAGTATTTCAGCACTGAGATAACTTAAGTAGAGATATTGGCTAAATAGTTTTCATTGTGGACTGGTCTATTTGAGTTATGTTCCCATTGTTGGAAGCAGTTTAAAATTGCAGGTTTATGGCTGCGTTTGGACAAAGCAATATCTTTAGGTCTGTATTGCTGGAGACCAACATTAATATTGCAGCCTTCTGCCCTGCAGGCTGCAGAACTGTTGAATGCTTCATTCTGGAAGTGTTCCCTGTTTCCCCCTTCCCCCACTTTTCAAACTGAGCCTGACTTTTTCTCCATTGGGATAACCCTGTCACTCGAAGGGAAAACTTTTTAAAAGGGAATTGCCAGATTTAAAATGAATGTCTGCCTTATTGTGAAATATGGTGTATTTTAACTTATTTTTGCTTGATGTAATGTTATAAAGCAGATTGCATAAACTGTTAGCTGCATTTTTTCATCATACTAAGGTTAGATTGCAGTTAGAAAAAGAGACCTGTGGTCTGCTTTATCTCAGAGCAATGGATATTCAGTAAATTAACTAAGGGTTTTGACATAAAATAGGTACACTTGAGTACACTTTGTGGACTGGTCTCTTGTGTGTGCCAGGTCCTGTATTGCCGAGAAGGTGAACAGTTGTGCAGTGTTTCCTGGGCTCTGTCATTGACATGGGCAAGTTTTCTCACTGAGTGTTAAGTTCAACTTTTTTTGTGGGGAGTGGGTAGCTTGTTGAAGGGTATCTGGAGTATTGATGTTCATCTGTAATTTGAATTGTTTCATTAAAATGCAAGGTTGTGTTTACGTTCTGATATGTAAGTGTTACTGTGTCACTGAAGCAGTTCTGGTGCTGGTGGTAATGGGAAAAGCTTCGTTTAGCCCTCAAAAAATATATTTTTTATATTTGTATCAAATTGCCAAAGAATACTTCTCATACCTGAGTTCCCTCAGTCCTCAAACTTCTGCATATCTCAGCTAAAAAGATGTGTTCAATATTGGAGACAGATTTCACAGCCTAGAATTTGTCTACAGAGGATTGCTTAATAAAACTAAAATGATTAGTTCAGCTGCATTTGATTCAACTTAAATCTCTTTTGATGGCTAGTTTAATTGTGAATTAAATGTTCCTCCTGGAATTAATGTAGTTGAACTAATCCACATTATCACTTAGTTGGGATTATTTTACTGTCCCTGTGTGGGCAGTCTTCAGTGAGGTGTGCCAAAAGCACTGTGCATATCCACGACTTGATCTCTGAATGTACGTCCTTGCCCTTAGCGCCTCTCCCCAGCTTGTTCTGTGTGAAGGTCTGTGCTATCGCTGTGACATGTTTGGGTACCTGTACATAATGTGTAAAATGAGTTTTTATTATTAGGGAAACGATTTATTGAACTTTATTATTGAAAGCTGAATCTGTAAAACAATAAATCAATAAAAGATTATAATCTTTCTACAGGCTATGGTGATACATGAATACTTTTGGAAGTTCGGCTGGGGCACTGTAGCCTGATCATGTTACTACATCACTCTGGGGAAATTGAAGTGTCATATTCTTTTGTGCTCTTTAATTGCTTTCTGGAGTGTAAGAACTGGGTAAATTTTTCATCTACCACTTCCAACTTCTTAGATGCTTTTATGAGAGCTTTCATAGTAAAGCATTTACTGTAAAAATATTTCTTTGGTAGTCCTGGGAACTTGCTAAACTTGTTCCTGGCTACTAAAAAGCTTGCTTTTTCTCCCTGCTGCTGAGTCAGTCCTGGGCCATGAGCTGTGCTGGGCATCCTGCCAGTCCTGTTGTGGAGCAGGGTGGAGTGAGGGTGTGGTGTGGAAGAAGCTTCTGCGATCTGAGTGATGCCTGGATACTGAGCGGGAAAGGGGAAGCTTGTGTTCAGGTGAGTTTTGAAAATGCGCTGGGAATCATGGTGCCAAGCTGGCCTTGAGCCAGCCTACAACAAAGGCCAGCAGTCTCCCAGGTTATGTTAGGAATAGTGTTGCTGGCACGTTGGGAGAAAGTGATCCTTTCCTCTCAGATCCAGTGAGACACCTGGAGTGCTGCGTTCAGAGCTGGGCTTCCTTGGTACAAGAGAGGCACAGATTTAGTGGATCTAGTCCACCAAAAGGCTGTGATGATTAGGAAGCTTAGCATCTTTGTACAAGGAGAAGTTGAGAGTTGGAACTTCTCAACCTGGAGAAGGCTGGGGAGGGACCTTACCAACGCACAAATGCATGATTGAAGGAGGAGTAAGCCTAGACAGGCTCTCCTTGATGGTCCTTAGTGGTTGAGAGGCAATGGGGCATAAATTGAAATACAGGAGAATGTTGAAACATCAGAAAAAGCTTTTCCTATGACGGTAGTCAATGGAGCAGATTGCCCCTAGAGGCTGTGGAGCCCCCTTCAAAACCAGTATGTGTGCATGGGGGTGAGTGTAGGACTAGATGACCTCCAGAGATGCCTTCCAACCTCAGCTGGAGCTGGCTGCAGAGCAGTGTTAGGTGTGGTGCTGCTGGGCTCTCCCACCTTAGCTGGTTTTTAATAGCAATAGAGGCTTGCTGCAGTTTCCCATTTCAATAGCAAAGCATAGAACTTTCTGTACGGTGGAAAATTCTTCAACTGCACCAGTGTGAAAGCTTCCCTTCACATTATCTGCTACTCATTAAAAAATTATTCACATTTCTATATTTCCTTTTTTTTCCCCTCTTCCAGTGGTGCCTGGTAGTTGATCTGGTAAAGGAGCTAGATGGGATTCTGAAATAGTTGCTTAATAGCAGGGAATTTGGGGACATGGACAATAAGCCAGCTGCTACAGCAAATAGGCCTACAAAGCAGTTCTTGAAATTATAGTGCTTTTTAGGACTTCTTGTATGAACATGCACTAAGCAACTGTGCAGCATAGCATGCTGCACTGAGCTGAAGACTGGTAAGCAAGTAGAATGTAAAGATCAGTCTTTATAGAAGAGAGTATGCTCTTACACATTTGCACATCTGTAAAGTACTTCACAAAAATGACAAAATATAACCTGCTGGTTTGATTTCCTGTGTATTTCATGAATTCAGCTTTTATGAGAAATCATAACTACCCTGAATAGTCCCATATGTTTAAGACAATGATGTATTTTTGCCTTTACTTTTGAAATCTTTCACTATTAATCATGCTTATGCACTGGTAGTGAGAGATAGGTGTACCTATAAAATCAGAGGGTAGGTGCAGACAGTTTTGGTCTTTGCTGATCCCGAGGTACCAGCTACCTTGCAGGTAGGCTTTGTCCTGCATTGCCAGCTGGACTGTGCTGCTCAGCCAGTGTTGTGCAGGAGGAGCTCTGGGGGCATGGACAGGTACTCCATGCTGGCTTCCATGTGTCATCTTCTCTGAGGGTTCAGGCCCCCCCCCCCAGTTATCTGCTTCTTGGAAAGATGTTCTCTTTGCTGCTCCCAAGCTCTTGATGCAACAACAGCAGCTTCAGCTAAGCTGTGGGGAAGGGGCTGAAGAGTAAGGCTGAGTTGTTGCCCGTCCCTTCCAGCCAGTGTTGCTGTGAAGGTTACTACTTGTCCATTTTTCAGCACACCATAGACCAGTGTAGACAACTCCTAGCTTTCTTCTATGAGCTAAGCTACTTTGATAAGCTTGAAATGTTCAAGCAAATGAATCAAAGGCCATGCTTTAAGGCCCACAGCTTTTTTTTTTCTCAATCTGCCAAATTAAAAGGGAGAGACTTGCAAGCCCTTCTTCTGCTGTATGTTTGTCTGTGTTAAATGATGTGAGACCTCCTTGAATTCCATTGAATCACTGCTGAGAGCTGTAGGATTATTCCCTAATTGCATCCAAAACAACTTTTTTAGATGATAAATAATATCATGTATTATACAGAAGCATGCCTCAGCCTAAACTTTGAAGTGCTTCACAAATTAATGTTTAATGAAACTGTTCGCCTCGAGGCTTGTGCTGTACTATGTAACTGGCTGAATACACACAAGCCAGTGCTCTTTCATCTCCCTGACAAGCCTTACTGCTTTAATACAGCATGTTTTCTCCAACTGTGTGCAGAGTCAGTTCTCAGTTTTATACACATCTCCCTGGCCTGCAAAAATACTACCTTGTCCCCCTCAAAAAGCCCACACATAGCAGGAGACTCTAATGGATGGTTCATATAGAAAACATACTCTTGGGGGAATGTTTCATGGAACAAAACATTATTCATAAATGGTTTTGTAATACAGTTCATCGTGGTGAACTATACTGTGTTATTGTATAGTGGAGGTGCTGGTTGACAGCTGGCTAAACATGAGCCAGCAGTGTGCACAGGTGGCCAAGAAGGCCAGTGCCTCCTGGCTTGTATCAAAAATAGTCTGGTCAGCAAGACCAGGGGCGTGATCAGCACCCTGTACTTACTACCTCAAATCCTGTGTCCAGTTCTGGGCCCCTCACTACAAGGAAGACATTGAGGTGCTGGAGTGAGTCCAGAGAAGGGAAATTGAGCTGGTGCAGGGTCTGGAGCACAAATCCTGTGCTGTGAGGAGCAGCTGAGGGAGCTGGGGTTGTTTAGCCTGGAGAAAGGGAGGCTCTAGGGACAGCTTATTGCTCCCTGCCTGAAAGGAGGTTTTAGCTAGGTGAGGGTTGGTTTCTTCTCCCAGATACTTGTGATAGGACAAGAGGACATAGCCTCAAGCTGTGCCAGTGGAGATTCAGACTGGACATCAGAAGAAATTTCCTCACTGAAATGGTGGTTAAGCA